ACAGGATTTCTTGCAGTTCATTTTCTGTCTTCTGAAATCTTGGAGAGGAGAGAAAGGGCAAAGCTTTTCTGCCCTTAGCTGGATGCTTACCTGAGTGCTTACAGCAAAGCCTCCCAACAAACACTGAAAACTGCTTGCACTACAGAGATTTCTTTTGGAGAAATGAATAATCCTCTCCCTCAGGTAGGGATGGAAGATATTTCCAATTATACTGGTAGAAAAGAGACCTCTCGTAGAATTGACATCCATGCCAGGAAAGGGTTGAAAAAGTGTTTATGAAGGTTGGTGAGCCTACAGCTTCATGTTCCTGATACATTTATTTCTACAGTATTTATAAAGTTGGTCAGCCACAATCATCTCATGTGTTAGGCTAGAGAAAATGTTTGAGAAAGGATGTGAGAAAATTTAATATTCTTTCTTCTGTTTTTCATCCTCAAATAGGAGACCAATCTTCAACAGCCATCTAATTGAGAAGGAGATAATCTGGTGTCTTCAATCTCTCAGACTAGTGCCCTAGCTCTTAGGCTGTAGCCTCCTCTGGGAGTGCAGCATTCTTCCTTCAGGGTTGTTAAGCCATGCTCAGTGGAAAACTTTTCTCCTCTTTGCCTTCAAAGTCCTGCACTTGTCTCTGAGTCATAGCACTACTTCAAAATGAATGGTGGTGGGGGATGTACATGTTCCACTGCAAAATAGGGTAATTTGAATCCCCCAAGACTACAAAATATGTCAAACACAGATCTCCAAATCCTGGTCAACACTTCTCTCTTCTCAGAATTGGTCAACACTTCTCTCTTCTGAGCTCTTGAAGAAAAGCATCAGGCAGTCCTGTATTCTCAAAACACTGAAGACTGAACAAAGTTTTTGTGTCTGTGAATCACACTTTCCTCACAGACTGAAGTCAGAACTGCAGCCAGCTGCCAAAATCAGAGATAGAGAGCATTTCATACACATCTGGTCCTCAAATGGTCAAAGCCTCCTTCCAAAGAGCACACTAGGTGTTATGAATCCAGCTTGTGTGCCTTGGGAACCCTAAGTCTGTGCCACGTTACTTAATCTATGAAGAGCTGGATGTCTAAATTGGGTTTATGAGTCACATTCGCAAAGGCAAACATATTAAAAGTATCTCTGAAAGCTGTGTTAAAGTATTGCATTTCAAAAGGAAGCTGTCAATGTGTTTTTACAGTAGTCTTAACTAGAAAGTAACACTGGGAACCCCTTGCAAGGGAGTTGTATTGTTACAAACTCCCTATCCAAGAAGATGTATCAGTAGGTATCTCTGCCTCGGCTGAATGGGCCCAAAAGTGGGACAACTGTTAATTCTCTTCTTATCTGTGGCATGTATCTTTCAGACCAAGCTGGCTAATTCCTTATCACTAGTATCACTAGACAGGATCTAAGGTTGGAACCATGACAAATTAGGTATAAGTGGATTAAAAAAAAAAAAAAGAAAAAAAAAAAAAGAGAAGAAAATATTATTACAGGAGCTCAGGTTTTTTCCAGGCCTTTCAGTCAATATGTAACAAATTTCCCCATTCAGAACATTTATTACAGAAAAGAGTCTTGTTCCTTATTATGCAAATCTCCCTCTCACCACCTCTCATGTATCAGTTCTACCTTTCTGTAAATGCTTGACCTGTGCATGATTGCTGGAAAATTATTACTGATTCTGCAACTGAATCCACGGAAGCAATATTTCCCTCCATGGGAGGGATACAGTCCAGTGTTTTATTGGTATAACCAAACTGGGTAGGACCCAGCATAGCAAAACAACTGCCCAGAGACTTGGTTTTTTTCCCATTTTAGTTTATGTCATCCAGGAAGTAATGCAGCTTGACTAGCAAAAAAATACCCAGCCCGAAGCTGCAGGCAGTTCGATATCCACTAGGTGGATGTGCTGACAGAGTTGTGTTCAAAGAGGCTTTCCCAGTGCAAGTCCAGGTGCAGGCAGGTGGGTTTTCCACTGCTGTCTCTAATGCAAATACCAAGCTTCTCTTGTTTGCATTTTATTTGGATTTTTAGCCACTATTTAAGTGCCTACGAACATGATTTAACTTTATAGCTGAACTGCCTGTTGGACACAGCCAGTTGAAAAGGAGCATTGTACAGCCCTTCATTTTGCCATTTGGAATCAAAGGTGTTTTTCTCTGAGCTACTTCTTGTATTTTCGTGGTCCTTGGAATACCTTGCACCTGAAGTAAATTCGTGACAAAAAGCCCGAGGAACTTGTACATCAGGGTTGGGTTGAAGCAGTTCTTTTGTCTTTCAGTCCCTATTGCCCTCACGAAGTGAACAGCTCTGTATGCCAGTAACTTTACATGCTTCAACAGTCCCACTGAATAGTTCCCACATGACCTTACTGGTAACTGTAACATTAAGTGCTAACAACAGGAACACTCTGCATACAAAATTTTGTATCCTGCTCAGAGAAGGAGGAATGATCATCTCATCACAAAGGCTTGAGAATTTCACAATTTCCACCTTTGCATAGAAAATCCCCATTGCTGCTTCCCTTATGTTCAGGATGTCCCAAAGACAGTGATGAGTGTGGCAGTGAAACCCCTTGCATGAATCCACACTTGACCCCTAACATTTAGGATGAACACCAAAAGAAGTCAAGAGGCTGATGTGTCTCTCATTTTAGGAGACACAGGAGCATAACCCCATGTCATAGTATTTTCTGCTCCTGCATCCCTTCATAAAGTGCTATAGAAATATGGCAACCTAAGGAATGACTCCAGAATACTGAAGGAGGGCATTTCTTTCAGCAATAACTTCAGCCTCCAAATATTATCATATAAGTACAGATGAGTTTTGAGGGGAATCTGTGAGAAATATTGCACACCCACATATGCAGTGACTGAAGCAGAATATGCTCGCTGAAGCTGAGAGTGGTATTTCACCATTTAGGAAGCTTTTTCATTAGTCAACTGTCTTTCAACAGCTAAACCCCATATTTGCTACCTTAATGTTGCTTAAAAAAAAAAAACAAACCAAAAACAAAACTAAAATCACCATGGATTCTTATCTCCTTTTCCAAGCAGTCTGATTTCTTCAACCCTAAACAATTTTGTCTTGGCACAGCTATTAGGCTACGTTAAACATTTCTGGGAAATGTGTGTCAAAGTCAGAGTGCTCATTGTTTAGTTTGAGCAATAGTTTCACATCTAAATGTGGGAAAATGCAACTCAGGAAAAAATAGGATTTATAAGAAAACCAGAATAAAAACGAAATTGAATTACTGATCTGACTGAATATGAAGTTGGGCCCCTGATCCTTCAGTTTCATGTATAATCCTGAAATTTTACAGAAGCATTTGCTTATATACTTAGGGGAATTTTGCAGGACTCACTCTATCATTTCTATATAACTCTATATAACTGTCTTCTCTGAACCTGTTTTTAATTAATCTGTTACATATTCTAACTTCTAAAGAAAGGGATTTGGAAAAGCACTGGGCAACAGCCTTGCTTTATTCCTATTAAGTCAATGGTAAAACTCCCCTTAATTCCACTGGGAGCAGAATTAGCTCCATGCCAAGCCCATTTTCAAAATCGTGTCTTTAAGGCTCACACGATGCCTTCTCCCTGCCCTTGCTTAAAGCACAGACTTCCCTCTACTGTCGTTTTAGGGTTTTTTTTTTGCTTTTTGTTTTGTTTTTTTTTAATCCCTTGTAAAATAAAGCCATGCAAATACACAAACAAACCAGCCTCAGCATCCTAACTTCTGAGACCACATATCTCACTGTTTTCTTTCTGACTGTGTGGTTAACCTTTTGGGGGAAATGTTCAAGATTACAGTGCTGAACTGCTGTGAAACTCTAGGTAGACTCTGAGTATGTTTCAAAAGAGTTGGAGATAAACCCCTGGATGTTGGCTGGGTTCCCTTTTTCTGTTAAAGTGACACAACATTTTATTCTTCTTACATGCCTGCTGATTATTGCATTGCTCTGTAACACGGGCAAAAATAATAAATCGATTTTTTTTTTTTTGGAAACTTTCCCTCTCGCTTAATGCTTGGGGAGCTGGATGCAGCAATTTGATCCACTATCAAACTCGGTATTTCCTTGTGCCAACACGCGATGGTCTTTTCATTCGTACGAGCTTAGATGAAAAGTCGGATTTTCACACTGCACAGATATACGTACCCTGCTTCCTTGGACAAGGTGCACTTTTACCTACAGAAAAAAACCAAAAAAACAATAAATTAAATTAACCCTTGTTTTTCACGCAAAGAACAGATAGAGGCTCGTCCTACCCGGCGGGTCAGGAGTTGTTCCCGGCCCCGCCGTGCCCCCGCTCCCCTCGCACCGCCCCCGGCCCGGCGCGCGCCCCCGGCGAGTGCGTGCGCGCCTGTGAGCGCGCAGGCCCCCGCCGCGCGCCCCTCCGGGCGTACACGCGCGTGTGTGTGCGCGCACCAGCGTGCACGTGGGTGCGCGAGGGCGCGCCGCCGGCATCTCTCGGAGCCGCGCACCCGCCCGCCCCGGGCCAACGCCGCCCACGGGGCCGAAGCGGGCGCGCCCCGCCGCTGCTGCTGCTGCTGCTGCTGCTGCCGCTCCCCTCCGGCCGCGGGGCTCCGGCGGCGCCCAGGGCAGCGCATCCCGCGGCTGAGCCCCGGGACCCGCGGTCCGGCAGCGCCCGCGCCCCGCCCCCCCCGCCATTGGGCCGGCGGCGGCCCCGCCCCGCCCCGCCCCGCCCCCGGCTGCCCGGCAGTTCCGCGCGGGCGGAGCGGGGAGCGGCACCCGCGGCGGCGGCGGCGGCCCGGCGGCAGCATGGGCTGGAGCTGACAGCGCCCGCCCCGCAGACGCTGCCGAGCGCTGCCGGCGGGGGAGCAGAGGGAGCGCGCCCGCAGGGAAGGGAAAAGTTGCCGCGTCCGCCCGGGGAAACTTTGTGCGGCCGAGGCGGGGAGGGGGCGGCGGAGCCGAGCCGTCCGGTGCGGTGCGGTGCGGTCCCTGCGCGGCGGCGGCGGGGCGCGCAGCGCGGCGCTGAGGCGGCGCGGGGGTCATGCCCGCCGCCAGCTTGCTGCCGCTCTTCGGTAGCGCGGCGGGGCCGGGGACGCTGGGCGGCCCCGCGGGTAGCGGCGCGGGCGGCGGGGGCAGGAAGGCGGCGGGCCCCGGCGCGTTCCGGCTGACGGAGAAGTTCGTGCTGCTGCTGGTGTTCAGCGCCTTCATCACCCTCTGCTTCGGGGCCATCTTTTTCCTGCCCGACTCCTCCAAGCTTCTCAGCGGCGTCTTCTTCCACTCGGCCGCCCTGCAGCCGCCGCCGCCGCCGCCCGGCGGGCAGCCCCGCGCCCCTCCGCAGCCCGGAGGCGGCCCGGCGGCGGCGGCGGCCGCGGGCGGGCCGGGCAGCCTGGAGCGGATCCGCGCGGACCACGAGCGGGCTCTGCGGGAGGCCAAGGAGACGCTGCAGAAGCTGCCCGAGGAGATCCGCAGAGACATCCGCCAGGACAAGGAGAAACTTCTGCAGGACGCCCGCGGCAGGAAGGAGGCGGGTGCCCCCGGGCTGCCCCAGCGCCTTTTCCGCCAGCCCGTCGGCGCCGTGGGGCAGGAGCCCGCCGACCCCGACGTCCGGCAGAGGAGGGAGAAAATCAAAGAGGTGGGTGGTGGTGACTGTCGGTCCCGCTCCGGGGGATGCGCCTCGACGCTCCCGCGCGGGGCAACAGGTCTCTGGCGGCGGTGTTGGGGGACCCCTGATCCCTCCTGCCGCCTCCTCCTTGCGGGAAGAGGGTCTTTCTGGCCGGCTGTCCCTCGGTAGCCGCAGCGCAGGTCGGCGGCGGTTGCATCCTCGCAGCCCGCGGTGCGTTCCCGCTTGGGCGCCCGCGCTGCCGGCTCCGTTCCGGCTGCGCCTCCCTCCCTCCCGATGTTGCCGGGCTCCCCCAGCTGTTGCACCGAAACCCGGGCAGAAAGCAAAGCCCCGCCAGGGCTGGCAGGCTAGGGATCGTTTCGCGGGTCGCCGAGGGCTGGGGACGGCGACGCCGGGGAGAAAGAGCGGCGCGGGTCCGCCTGCGCTCCCCATGGGACGTCCCGGGCTCGGGCGGTGGGTGTCCGATCCCCCGCGGGTGCGGGAGGCAGCGGGGCACGGCTCCGTGCCCGTGCCGCGCTGCCGGCAGAGGAGCTGCCCGGGGCTGTCCGGCGGGGCGCAGGTGCGGTGCAGCGCTCCAGAGGTGTCGCGGTCTGACTCGGGTTCGTGCGGTTCGCTATTCAGCGGTATCGGCTGTCTGAAGAGTTGAGGGCATTTGGCAAATACAGTCAATTTAGGTTGCAGCGGTAAAGCGTCAGAGCTGTGTGTGCTTTGATGAATTCCTTCAACCACCTTTTTTTGGTCCTGCTGCTCGGTTGGTTCAGGTACCGGTTTAAATCCTTCCTTACAAAAATTCTCCAAACTCTGTCTAGGTAATGCTGTCGTGGGCAGAGTTTGACAGGGTCCTCTAGCAGAAGAAGAATTTCCTTAGTAATACAGTTCAACTTCCCATCAGTGCTGGCTGGTTAATTTATCGAACTGACAATTTCAGCTGCCTGCAGAGATTAGGGTTTATGAATTAATTAGTAGTATATATTTCATGTACTGTGGTGATGGAAATGAGATAGGCTTACTACAGACTTACTACAGAGTATTTCAGTATTTGTGAAACCTGGTTAGCCTTAGTTAAAAGTATTTATTTTTATTGTGTGTTTGTACAGAGTGCTCTGAAAAGTGAGCTGTGATATCACATGGAGCATCATGTAATAAGCTCTCACAAATATCAAGTTGTGTTCTGTGCTCTGGAGTCCTTGTGCCACTTTAACTATTTCAGCAAATCGTGGGGCATAGTTTTAAGTCGTAAGCAGCATGTACCAATGCAAAGGTATTTTGAAGGGAGAAGGAGTACACGGGAGGAGTACACGGTAGAGACCACATCTTGAAGTGTGCGGAGAGTATGTTGCCTTCTGGTTTAGTCATGCAGCCTCCCTGAGGTATATGGAAAGTTAGAAATACCAGCAAACTCTTTTTCCAGCTATGTGACATTGCCACGGAGAAGTATTTAGAAGTAATGAGGCTCCAGACCTGATGTACATGATTCTGTGGTACAGAAGACTGTAACAAGTAACTAAACAGGAGGAGGAAGATAGCAGCATGTTTAAGTGTTGTCCTGCTGGTCCCAGTGTGTGCCAGCTGGTCTGAGTTACCTTTTGTTACATGTGGATATCCGTGTGTGTACTTCCAAACATATGGCCAATATCTCTTCAATGTCCCTTTGCTTTCCATCCTCTCTCCTCCACTTCCACACAGAGCATCAGTTTCACAGTAGCCTCCCCAAACCAGAGTTTTGGCTGTTTAAGCATAGGAGATGATGCAGAAACTGCACTTTTTTTCCAGATCTTTGCTTTCCTTCATACCTCAGTTTAAGTCCTCAATACTAAGTGTTGTTTCTGGGAGTTTCTTTTCTTCCTAAATCACTATGTGATCTTAACATCTTGGTTCCTTACTTGCTTTAGCATTTTTGCAGTACTTTGCCTGGTTTGTTTTTTGTCTTTTTATGAAGAATACATTTTTCCATTGACAATAAAACAGTGTTTCTGTTCTGTGCTGACTTGCTTCACATTGTTTCATGTGTTGGCTTTTTTGTTGCTTTTCTCTTTGTCTTTTTGCAAGCTTTAGTCCCCTTTTTTATATTGTTACCTTAGTGTCAAGATGGATTTCTAATCTGCAGTCTTTTTAGCTTAGTTTTAAAACTTTAAATAGTTTTAAATTGTATCTTTTTAAAGTATGAACTTTTGTACTCTACTGTAAATGCACAGAAACCAGAATTATCCCTTAAAAGTTTTTCTCTTTGTGCCCAGTGGTTACATGCTGGAGATGCAAACATAAAAAACCTTTCTGCTTTCATACTCTTTTGAGCCTGGAATTCGCATCTGCATTGTATGATTTATGTCATATATCTAGAACTCAACATTTGAAGCTAGTCTTAGTGATACTTTTTACAGAAGGAAGCAAGTTACTTTAAAAGAAAAGAATGCCAAAAAATAAGGTTGTTCTTCCCTGTGTTTCTGTTCTGGAAGGGCTCCATCTCGCCAATGTGCTGACATAAAGCTGAGAAGGGAGATACCTTAGAGCTGCTTTGTCCATTTACTGTTTTAAATTTTAAGTTGACATGTGTGTTTAGAAGTCCAGCCAGTACAATATCACTTAGAATCACAAAACAATGAAATGCTGTGATTCTATGGCATTTTTTAGCCAAGTTTTGTTCTAGAAATTTTAACCACTTTTTCTACAGCTTGCTCTTTTATATTAGGAAAAAAAAAATTAACAGGGTGAAACTTAAACCAAGAAGGAAATATAAAGGTTCTTGAACCTCTCTTAGTATTTAAACCAACACGATATTACCAAAAAGAAATGCTAGATGCTTATTGAGCAAGTAAAACACTTATGGAAACATGAAGTAGAGATCCTTTTGCTATGAGGGAACCCTCACTTCTTTTTCACTCTGTCAGAACTACATGGTTGCTCTCAGGGTGTGTGTGGAAAGGTCTGCCCCACTGTGTTACTGGGGCCTGGCTGTGTGCAGGCAGGGGTGTGAATCAGAGACCAGCGATACTGATGGGTGCTGTGCTGGTGCTCTGTTTCTCTTCTGTTGATGTGTTACAGGCAACCTCAGAGGAAAGAGCAGCACTGCCAGCAGTGGGGCTTTCCCCACTACTTCCTGTTCTACTGCTGTCAGTTGCTTGTGGCTGCTGATTGTTTTACTGCATGGCCTGGGTGTTGTCCTCATGCAGGATGCCTCATGGAGGCTCGAGCAATGAAGCACGCTTTGAGCATAGCAGCATTAGTGCATTTGCCAGAATTTACATTCTTCAGTCAGTTCCTCCAGTGCTCCCATGACTTGGAGCAAGGTTTGGGTCCCTGGTATGCCTGTGGCAAGTGCCTCCTGTGGTATCTGTTCCCTACCTGGAAAAAAGGAGTGGAAGGCAGTGTTGATTCCGTTCCACTCAAGTGCAATGTCTTCCAGTCTCTGCTTTTGTCACTGTTGGTTATGGCTGGACATCATTATTCCTGATGTCAAGGGAAGACTTGCAGGTACATAGGTAGTTGATACAAGCAAAAGAAATTATTAGAAGAGGATGACAATAGTGGAAAGAGGCTATGAAGGCAGGAGATAATTCTTTTCATTAAAAAAATCTGATTTTGAGTCTTCTCCAAGTCTCAGTCCTCTCTCTTCCAAGAAAAAGAAAATGGTGCTGGAATTATTTAGGTGTTAAGAAAACAGCAAAACCTAAGCTCTTTTTATTTTAAAGCAAAAGAATAGAAATGATGAGTGAGCTAGCTCAGGTACTAGAAGCTATATAATCACATTAGTGTGGTGCTCTGCCCAGACTAATTAATCCTGCTGAACAGCAAGCTCTATGGTGGAGCACCATACTAATGCAGCTGTGCTGTTCTTGTACAAGGTAACTAGCTTGGACACTGTTCACGTTATTGATCAGAGCTGTTTGGACATGTTTTCAGGATAAAAGCCTCCCTGGTAAACTGGAATCAATGTCTAAAGAGCATGGTCATGCAGTGCTCCAAGTACTTGCACAGCTCTCAGCTGTTGCAGTCGTGTAGTACAAGTCTTGCAGAGAGGAATTTGAGCACCAGTCCTTTGAGCTCAACAGGGCACTGGCTGCAAGTCAGCAAAACAGACTCTGCAGCTTCCCTCCCCATCTCTCTGTAAAGAAATGAATTGAGGTGGCATTGGCAGGGTGAATTCTGAAGCTTTTTTAAGTCCTATGGTGGCTTTTATGCAATTTAGATGAAAGTCTCAGTAATGTTACAGGGATATTCAGCAATATCTTGAGGAAAGAAAGCTTGTGAGCATAGAAATAAAGCACTAATCAGAGATCTAATATGTGCTTGACATTAAATACTTGGGCATAATAAGATCTCTTCATTAACAAGGAGCGATGGCAAAATTATGGATGGTCACTCACTGCTGTGGAAGGGTAGTTGGCCCCTTGTGTCTTCCTGCATGCTTCCACCAGCTGCTTTCCTACTGCCTGGTATCCTGGTGCTGCTGCTCAGGAAGGTCCAGTGCCAGCTGGATGGAGTTTTATTTCCTTATGAGGGTGTTTACATGACAAGGTGAGCTCACTAATACTTCTTGCTATTGGAAGAGGAGAACAAGTCTCTTCATCCCACTTTTGATTGCATTCTCCCACTATCTACTTTCTGTGATTTTCACTGCATCCCTCCATAATCTGCTTCAGCTCAGTAAGTCAGCTAAAAACTGTCAGAGAAAAAAAAAAGAAAGAAATTGGATGGATTTCTGCTAAACTTTCTGTCAGGTTGGTGAGTCAAAGGTGTTAATGAAAGGGTTGACTTGGTGCTAGTTTTGGCTGTGGTGAGGGAGCAGGTGGAAGAAAGGTATGAAATCTCTTTGAGTAGATCTGTCTTAGCACCTGGTTTCTGTTCTTCTTGCCTAAGCTCTCCATTAAAACTGAATCTCTGCAATGAGACCTTTGCAGAGCAAAGGTTCTATCTACTGTAATCATCTTTAGCAGAATGAAGCATTTCACTTCAGAAGGTTTACCTCCCAACCCCTCTTCTCATAACAGAATAGGAGACAGGAAGTACAGAAA